TGTGTGTGTGTGTGTGTGTGTGTGTGTGTGTATGCAGGCCCATAGCCAGCTGTAAGATTACCGAGGTCCAGACCTCAGTAAATTGTGAATGTTCAAAAATACAATTTGTTCTCTGAATTACTAATTTGTTGTTTAAAACTCCTCATATGAATGTCTGCATGTATAATTCAGCTTAGACAGTTTGCAAGAATGTTTAGCATCCATGGTATGAAAAAAAAAAAAAAAATCGCTGCTAGACTAATTTGTTGTTTAAAACTCCTCATATGAATGTCTGCATGTATAATTCAGCTTAGACAGTTTGCAAGAATGTTTAGCATCCATGGTATGAAAAAAAAAAAAAATCGCTGCTAGACACTGGCGGAGTGAATGAGAGTTGTGAGTGAGGGCGCGGGCGCAGCCTCCATGTTGCCAAATCCAGTTATTATACGTGTTTTTGGATTTGTCTTTTCCACTTAATTTGACACTCTGGAAAGTTAATAAAGTGGGAAGTTACAGTTTAGGGTCAGCGATATATTTATCTTATTTGCAAAAAAATATTGGTTTATTTTTTGTTTTGTATAGCAATATCTGGCAACACTGCATCGCCAGCACTTAAAGGGATAGTTCACCCCAAAATTAAAATTTTATGTTTATCTGCTTACCCCCAGGGCATCCAAGATGTAGGTGACTTTGTTTCTTCAGTAGAACACATTTGATGATTTTTAAGTCCAACCGTTGCAGTCTATCAGTCTTATAATGCATGGCAATTGAGTTTGCGTGAGAGAACGTAATCTTTTAGTTTTAAGTCAGTTTGAACAATCCGGATAAGCGCAAGTAAGTACCATTTTGATTAGCTGTTGTACCTACAATGACTGTGCAAACAATGAGTGATGTATACGCGTGAGAGATCACTTCAGGCGCTTGCGTAAACTACACCAGAGCGCGTACACACCTCACGCACCGGATGCCTGCGTGCGCCCAAAGACAGTTGGACATAGTGGTATATTAGAGGTAAAAAATTATATAAATACTGTTTGGTTTCTCAAAAATCATCATTTGTGTTCTACTGAAGAAACAAAGTCACCTACATCTTGGATGCCCTGGGGGTAAGCAGATAAACATCAAACATAAACAAACAACATTTTTGGGTGAACTATCCCTTTAAACTGACAGTAATCAAAAAAGCCCACAGACAGGTTATTGCTGTCAGGATAGCACATTCGGTAAGGGAAACACAAAAAATATTATGAAACCTTATCAACGTTGTCGAAAACAGTAGCATTTAACACTAGTACACAGATCTGTAGAACACGTAGGTTACAGCAGTGGTTCCCAACCCTGGTCCTGGAGGCACCCCAACACTGCATGTTTTGCGTGTCTTCTTAATCAAACACACCTGATTCAGATCATCAGCTCATCAGTAGAGACTCCAAGACCTGAAACTGGTGTGTCAGAGAAAGGAGACTGCATTGTTGGGGTGCCTCCAGGACCAGGGTTGGGAACCACTGGGTTACAGCCTATACGCAAACACTAGCCATGAAGAAGTCTATGCTATGTCATTCATTAGCTATAGTAGTTAAATTTTCACAAATCATGCTAAAAACATTCATAAGAGCACTAGACAAAGTTATCATCTGCATAGCAATTATTATTAATGACAACTATAACAGTAATACGTATTGTTGCATGATTAATAAGCAACTGATAAAAATTATCCACCCCTAACCTATAGTAAAATATTAACAAATTTTGATGCAATAAATATGTTCACCCCTCCAGAACAGAGAAAACATCTTTCACAAACATCTCCAGCTCTGTCATCTGTTGTCTGTTTTAAAGTGTTAGTGTATATATTTGGGGTCATTATAGCACAGTTCTTAACCCCACCCCAGACCTCACTAATTTTCAAACCCTGGCTAGGGCCGTGTGTGTATGTGTGGTGGCAGAGGGCTTTGCTCCATTCCTCTCTCCTCTGCGATGTCTTTATGTGTGTCTTTCTAGTCCCTGTCTGTCTGTCTTTTCGGGCTTGTATTCCCAGCGGGCTATTGTCCATGCTGGGACGAGGGAAAGGAGCCGGCCCACCTGTGTGCATGGTGGCCCAGAGTTCTGTGCGGCTTCCTGGCTGCTCCTTCCTACTCCTCCTCCCCACCTCTCCGTCCCGCTCCGCTCCTCCACTCTGGCCTCTGGTGCAGCTGTCTCTTGTGCTTGATCTAACCATGTGCCGCCGCCTACACAAGCCTCACATGGTTCCGTCAAGCACCAGGGACCGCTGGACACACTCGCACACAGCATGGCATTCTGGGATATGTGTGGTGGCAGCTCTCTTTGCCACCGTGAGGAGTGAAGGTGGCGTTCTTTAACCCGGGAACAACGGATTGCTTGTGAGGAGCTCTAGCTGTGTTCTGCGCTGGGGTTTTTTTTATTTTTTTAAGGTCGCTCTCGTAGACGTTTGGCTGGAAGCATCAGGGCAGTCGAACGGAGATGGTGGGAATATGATAAACAGTGGCAGGCGAGTGATGGCTGATGGGAAGCAGACTTATCGCGGGCGGCCAGAAGCTCGTGTTATGCAGAAACTGCCTGTGTTTTCCTGTCAAAACACTTCGTAGTGCCAGACCTCCAATACCTGACCTCTTGCTCAATGACGCTGTTATCTGAAAAAAAGAATGCAAACGATGAGGTTGTGTTCGCAAACAAGTTTCCTGCGGCTGTTTGTGGACGTGTTTGTAGGTGGAAAGAAAAAAGGCATAAAACCAAAATTTTCATTCTTATTTATTATGTGGGTAAATCTCATAAAAAATATGTCCAGGTCATGTTTTGCCCCACAATCAAAAGAAAATGTAAGAATGACTCTTTCTTTTATTTGCATGATATCTACAGATTTACAGATCCTATATAGAAAAATAAATAAAATTGTGGTCATATATTTGACATTTTTTATATAGATTACAAAGCCATTAAGATAATTAAGCACATTTCCCCAATTTCTCATTACTGTGATATATTTCAGACATTCTGCTTTGAGATTTGTTTCCTAATTCCCATTATTTTAAATCTGAACCGTATTACTTATACGGTTATTATACGGTTATTTTGATTATTTTTTTATATAAATATTACAACATTTGCATGACACATACAAATTTACATTTTATATAGAAAAAATATGTAAAATTGCGCTCATATATTTGACTTTTTTATATATAGATTGCAAAGCCATTAAGACAATTAAGCACATTTCCCCCAATTTTAATACAAAATTTTACTTTGAGATTTTTACCTAATTCCCATTATTTGAAATTCGAACTGTATTACAGCTCTATTTAATATTAAAATATTACATTTTATGACACGTTCAAATTACATTTTATTATAAAATTTCGAATTGTGTTCATATATTTTACATCTTTTTACAATGATTACAAAGTCATTAAGCCATTATTAACTGTATTACAGACACTTTTATATAAATATTTGCATGAAAAATACAAATTTACATTTTATATAGAAAAACAAGTAAAATTGTGTTCATATATTTCACATATTTTTTATTCTATTTTAAGCCATTAAGAGAATTTACTATGATATTTTATTTTCTAATTCCCATTATTTGAATTTGTATTACTATTTAAAAAAAAAAAAACACTTTTAAATTAGTATATAGTCGGTACAACAAAAATCTTGATTTATAAATACCATTTATTATTGTATTTCATTTCATTTTAATGTGGAAGTGCTTCATTGTCCTGAAAATAATGCCACAGTGCAAAAAGGCTTCATTTTTATGCAAATACATTTCTTATTTATTTAGATTTTGTGAGGTTTAACCATGCGTGTGATGAGCTGAATAAGCTGGTTGACTGTCTGTTTCTCTCTTTGTGTCTGTTGTGTTTGTTAGGTGCGGAGGACTACCGCAGTCGTCTCAGCAGCGAGTGTTTTCAGGACCTGGTTTGTCCCGAGCGCTGTCGGTGTGAGGGAACGGTGGTGGACTGCTCCAACCTCAAACTCACCAAAACACCCCCTCACCTGCCAGAGCACACCACCGACCTGTAAGAGTCACACATTTGAGCTTACAAACACACCTAGCGACCCCATCAGTCATTCACGGGATCATTGGCCATTTACAATCTCACCTCGCTAATTCTTTCGGTGTCCCTCTGTCTCCGAGGCCTCGTTCCTCTCTCCTGTCCTCTGATTACGGGGTCTCGTCCCCAGCTGAGTTGTGTGAATGAATGTCCAGGGCCTCTCTCAGGCCATTAGCCTCTCAGCTGTGTTTTCCCTGCGCAGCACTAGTCAGGGTGACAATGCGTTTGCCCTTGTGTTGGTGTGTAGAGGACACATCAGGGTTTTCCCTCTGCAGTCCCATCAACTTGAGTCATCTGTCACACTCTCTCTTTCTCTCTCTCTATCTTTCTGCGGCTCAGTGACTACAGCTTGCACCCGCTAGCGCAGCTGCTTATTTATAGAGCTCTTGCGGGAATGCTAGCAACCAGGAACCAGCACTTTATGTCTGATGTGCTATCCCATGGCAGGCCCCGCTGGGGAAAGCAGCCCTGGGGGAAGCAAAAAGACAGATTCTACTTTTACTAATGTTTGGAAAGTCTCTCTCAACCTTGCCTAGACCTTCTCTGCAGCAGTCTCGCTCTGTTTGCAAAGGAATACTTGCATACTGCTAACTGCTGTGCAGTATATACCTCATGCTATCATTTGCTGATTATGATTTCTTGTCATTTCTTGGTTATACATTTGGTGCATTCAAGTCCTCCTGGGAAGTTCTTGTAAGTTCTTTTAAGTTGGGAAGTCATAATTGCAATGCATTCAAATAACTTTGGTTAGAGTAAGATGCACTGTAAAAAAAATACTTTTTCGAAGTTGTAAATAAAACAAAGACTGCTGGAGTAGATTTGACCAAAAAAAAAAAAATACTATTTCATTCTTTCCGCTTCAAAATTTCACAATTAATTCAGTGTTACTTGCTGTTTCTTTGGAAATATTTGTAAAATGTCCTAGCAGTTTAAAGTATTGCTGTCAAATGATTAATCGCGATTAATCGCATCCAAAATAAAAGATTTTGTTTACATAATATATGTGTGTATATACTGTGTATATTTATGCATATTTAAATACAAACACATGCATGTATATATTTAAGAAAAATATGTTGTTTATATATTAAATATATTTATATATAATATAAGAATATAAATATATAAATGTATATACACATGTAAATATTTTCAAAATATATTCTGTATGTGTGTGTGTATTTATATATAAATAATAAATATACACAGTACACATACATATATTATGTAAACAAAAACTTTAATTTTGGATGCGATTAATCGCGATTAATCATTTGACAGCACTAGTTTAAAGTAAATCTCAATTCAGTGTGGCAATGGATCTTTTCTACATAAATTTCAACAAGATTTTTATTAATCTACTAAATGATTAATAAAGAATGCACAATGGGAGTGTTTTGCTTTTTTATTCAATTTATGAAGGTGCTGTAAATTAAATGATGTATTCTATAGTAATTGTATAATATTATTACTTTTAAATGCAAAGTAACTATTCTTAATGCTTAGATTAGTTTTATTGTAAATAAAAATTAATAAGCATTCCATTAATTTGAACAAATTTAACATTAAAAAAGACGTGATGTTCATGTGCCTTTAACTCGTAAATACAATTTTTCCAACATAACTTGAATGCACCAGTTTTGGAAGATATCTTGTGTAATACATGCATAGAATAATTACTAATTTCTGAATAAAGGCCCAATTATACTGTGAAAAAAAAAAGTATTTTAAATATGTGTAAAAGTTGATCTGAAAATATTTACAATAGAATTTTGTTTCCCTTAAGATGCAGTCAAATCAGTAAAATTTCATGGACAAAAAAGGTCCGTTGTCTATTTTCAGAGTGGAAATGTATGAATCACTTTCACACTCATGCAAAATTTCTGAGTGCATAAATTCTATTGCAATTACTGGATTTTGCCCACGGATATTTGCGGAACAACGGTAAATGTGACCGCACTTTTAGAATTTTTCCAGTCGTGATTAATTTTAGGATTTTCAACCAGTGTTTAAATCAGAATGAAATAGTAATGAATGTCAATTGGGTCCATATTTTATTCTTTTCTTTTCTTTTTTCTTTTATTTCTTTTCCTCCTGCCTTTCCTACTTCCTTGCAGCTCCAGTTTGAAACTCCTGCATAAAGTACTATGGCATTCCAAAATACACCATCTGTTTCCAGATTCTGTCTCCATTTATCTGCATCGCCTGTTAGCCCGTCTTCCACGTCTACTGTTATTATTTGCAAAGTATCAGAGTATGTCCTTCATGTTGTCATCACTGGTGTTGAGGGACAGATGAATGTGTATGATTTTGTACCAGAGAGAGCGGTACTGATTTTTCATTACAATGACATCACAGTCCCAATTAGACAGCGTCTCCCAAATAAGAGTCTGAATGATCATCACTTCCCATCACTCCTACATGCTCCAGTGAGGTTTACTAGTGTTTTTTGCTGTGAGCTTGTGAGTACTCTGCTTACTGTTGAACTATTAACCTCTGTCTCTCTCTCCACCAGACGGCTGAACGACAATGAAATCTCCGTCCTAGAGGCTACAGGGGCCTTCAAGAAGCTGCCAAACCTGCGCAAGATGTACGAACGGGTTTATTTCTCTTTTTCGGTTTGACTGCTGAATGACATTGGTGTATTTGGGAAATCCAGCTTCGCTATGGACAGCAGGACAAGAAAAGCTTCTGGAATATTCCAACCTAATAGGAAAACGCATGAAGTGATTTACTGCCAGGCAATATTTGCGGCTCACTCCAAAATTGGAAAAAGCGGTATTCGCTCAGGAAGAGGACCGGGGATTTATCATGCATGAAATTGCTTACTATCTAGCACAGTTATAAATTGGGCAGATCTAAAAGTCCGACCTTACATTTTACTGAAGCACGGTTTAAAATTAAGCGGTGAATCATCATAAACGTGTGTTTAGGATACAACCACAACCTATTCATATGATGAAACAAAGACATTTGCAGTGTACCGTTGCCACCAGTGCTTTCTGCCATTTGTGACCCTGGAGCACAAAAGCAGTCTTAAGTCGCTGGGGTATATTTGTAGCAATAGCCAACAATACATTGTATGGGTCAAAATGATAGATTTTTCTTTTATGCCAAAAATCATTAGGATATTAAGTAAAGATCATGTTCCATGAAGATATTTTGTAAATTTCCTACCAATTTAAGGGGGTCTGAATACTTTCCGTACCCACTGTATGTCAGAGTAATAAATAGCAGCTTCAATTCTGTGTTTGCAGAAACTTAAGTAATAATAAACTCCGGGACATCCGTGAGGGGTCGTTTGATGGGGCCGGAGGTGTTTTGGAGCTGCTGTTGACCGGAAACAAGCTGCAGTCGGTCAGCGGACGGATGTTCAAGGGTTTGAGCGGCCTCAAAACGTTGTAAGTATCACCAACGTTTAAGCTCATTTTTCATTTCTCCACTGTTGTCCTGCTCATTCAAATGAAGACTTGTCTCTGAGCCACGTTTACATTCATATATTCACACGGTTTTGAATATAAATGCACAAACACCAGAGTTATGGCATTGGAAATGTGTTCATATAGGCTATGAATTCAAGAAAAATTGCCTGTTCTCAGCAAAAACCGTGATCGTCAGTCTAATCACGATGCTGAGCGCGAGAAGCTATTCTAAGAAACTCACGGGCATAGATGTCCTCTATGCTGGCACGCTATCGGGAACAAAGATGCTAATACAATGCATATTCTGAAGCCTGGTGGTTAGAAAAAGCCTTCCTAAGGTCTGCTGTCGCTCTAATTAGCTTAATTGGAGAGAGAGGAGTGCATAGGAGCAAATGAATGGAATCATGGTCCTGCAATATTGGATTTAGTGGCTTTCAAATCCCAGGAGTATGTGTCCAAATTGAGTTTGCTCATCTCAGATCCCTGTTTGTCAGAGTTTAATGCCGAATTTGCTGCTTTCGGGTCTTCATCACGACAGACTCTGGTTTGCATTTAGCCTGTTTGTGCTGCTGAGGGCCTTTAGGAGAACCTCATTGTTTTGGGCAGCTCAGCCCTCCCCAACCACATGCACACAAACTCATCTTGTCCCGTGTCAAGCGGCGAGCTGCCTCAGCGGCCTGTGTCTGCTGCACAGAATCTCGGAGAGCAGACGCAGACATGTTTAACTGGCGATCTCAAAGACCAGAAAGCCAGAGACTGAACCAGAGACTTCTGTTGTTCAAATACAGCTCGTTAACCCAGACTCTACACCTAAAACATGTTTTGCGTTTTCAGAATTTAAAAAAAAATAGATTAGAAACTCTAGGGTTTGTTCATGGATTTATTAAACTCAAGTGAAGTTATATTATATATAATGTTTCACATATGATAACATTCTATAAAATATGTTTTATATAAATAAATGATTTATATATTTTATGTGATAGGTCGGGTTCTTTCTAGGAGAGGGCACAAAAGATATTTCAGATCTTTGCATATAATTTTTATGTTATATTTATAATAATGTGCAATAAGGATGTGTTGCTTTTTTTTTTTTTTAAAGTGATAAAGACTCATACTGTTAGAATGTAAATGTTGTTCTTTTTAACTTTTTATTCATCAAAGAATCCAGAAAGAAGTATCACAGGTTCCCAAAAAAATATTAAGCATCAAAAACAGCTTTCAACTGATAATAAATCAGCATATTAGAATGATTTCTGAAGGATCATGTCACACTTTATACTGGAGTAATGGCTGATGGAAATTCAGCTTTGCATCACAGAAATAAATTATATTTTAAAGGATTTTAAAATAGAAACCATTATTTTATATTGTAATAACATTTTGCAAGATTAGAATTTTTTTTCTGTATTTTTGATCAAATAAATGCAACCTTGATGAGCATAATTTTAAATTTCTTTAAAAAACATTACAAGTCTTACTGATCCCAAACTTTTGACCGGTAGTGTATATATATATATATATATACTCTATTTAACTGACTTGCTGGGTTAAATAAAGGTTAATGACATTGCCAGTTTAGCAATGTTTCATTTGAATGGTCTGATACACAGTAAGTGCTGTCTGCTGAAGCCCCATCAGATTTCCTTCCTGTAAATTATTTCACAACCATCAAATCACTGCAGACTCGTACCAGACTCCTGTCTCGATATGCACCTACTTTCCTCCCTTACACCAGTTTGTGTGTTTACCCACCCACTGCATGTATGCCACATTCACAAAATAATGTTTCTGAAGTGAGGTGTTAGCAGTCGTACCATAGAACCACTAGCCACTGACTGAATGCATTACAGAGTCTCATAAACTCTCCGTTCCTCCCTCTCCGTGAGCTGCATGCCGTTGTCTGTCAGACTCAATGTGATCCCACCTGCCTCTGTGTTCCCATCAGGATGCTGAGGAGCAATCAGATCAGCTGTGTGGATAACGCCACCTTCACCGGCCTGAGCTCCGTTCGCCTGCTTTCCCTCTACGACAACCGGATCTCCACTATCGCCCCGGGAGCTTTCAACACCCTGCATTCCCTCTCCACCATGTGAGTCCTCCCCCCTCACACTCGCACACACACACACACACACACACACACACACATTACCCTCTGTGTCATGGGTTCACACGATCAGTTATGCATCCATAATCAACTGGAATTCTTTAGTGCAAAACAAAATAAAAAATTGAACGAATTAGGCATTTTAAAGCACAACTATCTCTGCTGCCTAATAAAACTATTTGTTGAAGTTCCTGTCTCTGTACCAAACCCACAAATGAGTTAGTTGAAAAATTCACAAAGACGCAGGAAGTCAAACACAGTCTATCGGGTCACGCACCACCACCAATCAAGCGCCTATTATATCTTCATATGCAAAGCGGATGAGGATGTGGTTCGAGCAAAGAATTCTTATTGATTGCAGATGTTTTTTCAAAATTATGAGGTTATGTTTTCTTGTCTTGGTTGTTCTTGAACCTCAGATGAGAAAATGTTGGCTTGCCCCGTGGGGCAGGGTGAATTATTCAAAAATGGCTAAAAGGGAAAATTGCTCTGCTGTCTGAAAATGGACTCAAAATTTTGTGCGATGTTGATGTCCATACAAAGGCAGATGTACTGAATTCATTCTTCTGCCATTTCGTTTTTTTGCTTATGATTGTATGCTGTAAAAAAAATGGGGAACAGCTGGAGAAAATGATGTGTGGTGCATTTTTAATGCAGATTAATATCTGCGTAGCTTTTTGCGGGGGAGGTAAACAAAGAACTGATCAACAAACAAATTAACTCTAGTGTGTCACAGCCCTGAGGGAATGACAAGAAAGAGAAAGATCAACGGAGAAAACTGAAAGAGATCTCACAGATGTTCATAGATAAACAGATGCTGTTAAGCATTCAAAATAACTTTTGGTGGAATCATAATTTAGAAAAAAAATGGAAATGATGACTGCCAACACAGCGAGCCTCTGTAACCATTTGAATTATCATATCAGGCTGTATTCCTGGCACACATCTCAACGTGCAGCAATACACATGGTTCTCTTTTTCATTCGGTGAAAGCTCTCTACTAGCCGAAATATGTGAGCAGATTCTGAGCAGAGACTCTCAGATTGTTCTGGTTTGCATGGGGTGTCATACCTTCCATTCTGACCATCTAATCAAGTTTAGCATGCATAAACAACTGGAATAATTTACACAATGAAGTCATCTAATCAGTAACATATATTTTCCTTTTTTATCAAGGCATAAACAAGGCATAAACTTCCTTGACAACCTTTTTTTAGCTTAGCACTATAGGACGGCTTATGTTATTTTTATTTTTGTCTTGTTTTACTTAGTTTTTTGTGTTGTCTTTTTTGTCATGTATTGTCATGTTTGCTTTGCTTGGATTTACTTTGCTGTGCTTTGTTTTATTTTTGTTTTGTTTGTGTTGTCATGTATTGTTTTTGCTCTTCCATTCTCAATAAAAACATACATATTTATTTTTTATTTAAATAAAATAATGTATTCTAAAATATTCTTAAATATTCTCTTCTATATTCAATTTTTTATTAAAATTGAATTAATTAATATTAATTAATTAATCAATCCAATTATTTTAAAATATTATATTATATTATTAATTTCATAAATTAATGTAACTATTTTTGTATGTGTGTGTGTATATATATATATATATATATATATATATATTTAAATACAGTTGAGACCTCAATGTAGAATGTATGATATACTTCTTTTCAGCTAAATGAACATTAAGAACATATATTGTATATTAAATATATTGTATGGAATCTGCAAAACACATTCAATTCTTTTTTCCTTCTTATGCCATAAGCCAACTTTTCCAATCAATCTGTTGTGCTTTTTTCTTTCAGACTCATTCTTTTCATTCTCTCTCTTTTTTGCCAGCTCTCTAATTACCCAGCGGCTGACACAGCCATGTCCATCTCAGCACAGGGCAGCTAAAAATATCCAGAGAGAGAGAGAGAAAGAGAGAGAGCAAGGCCTCCCCAGCTATTCTCTTCCCACAGTAGTGCAGCAGGCATGTTGGGCATACTTCCCTCCTGTTTCTCTCTCATTCCATCATTCATCCCTCCACCTCTGCCCAAATTAGAGCGGAGTGGGAGTGTGTTTCCGGTAGGATAGTTTGGAGTGAGCAGTCAGGACAGAGGTTACTTTTGAGTGCTCGCATTTGTGATTATCACAGTAAAAATAGCCACGTGTTTTGTCAGTTATGTCCTATTTATTAAATTTAGCAGCATAAATATTCTCTCATGTCTAGTGTGCGATATCATTCCCAAAGCAAACGTCTGCCTGGCTTGTTCTCTCTCAGCCGGGGTTTCTTTGATTTTGAAGTGTGTACAGAAAGCGATGTAGGAATAATTAAAGGCAAACACATTGCAGGGTAGTGTTAACATGAGCACATCCCCTTAAGCTGCGAAGCATCTATTGGCGAAGCAGCGGAAGGTCAGCACACTCGATTAATTTATCCCGCAGGCTGTAGCGCAGCAGATACTCTATGAGAGAGTTCCTCTGTGCCTGTACTAGCACTGCTGTGGGTTTCAGTAATGCATCCCGTCTGAGTGGGCCGTCAGCCGGCTCCCTGGTGGGCCTTCTACAGTCATTGCTGGTGACGCTTTCAACTCAAGGCTACAATTTTTTGATTTAGGTCTGTGTGCCACCACCTGAACTTTCAGAACTCAGTGAGGACGCATGAAAAATGGGCCAATAAGTTGATTCTGAAGCCTCTACTCCAGCGGTTCCTGTAGCCATTGGTTGATGGATTGTTCTGTACCCAAACGTGATGAAAATGTGTCTGTGTCTTATTCGTGAGCCCTCGTTTTAGTTTTTGTTTTGTTTTTTTTGTCGTAGAATTTTTATTGCAAAATTGCACTTTTACATTTTATAACATTCACATCCGACCCAACCCAATGATCCAAAACTAAAACAGAAGGACATATGAAAAAGTTCAACTACATAATAAATAAATAAATAAAAGAGAAAAGAAAAAATTAATTAAAATATAATAATAATAATAACACAAAACTACTCCTCAAAATAGTAAAGGAGAAAAAGTATTATACCTCCCCTCAATCTACCTCCAGAATACGTATATCATTAAAGTAAGTACCGTATTGACCCGAATATAAGACAATGTTTTTTTCTTGGAAATACATCTGAAAAAACGCGGTCGTTGTTGCCATTTTTCAAAATAGCATTCCCCCCGTCTCTGATATTAAACTTGACTTTTTCAAGTTTTAAAAGAAGATTAAATCTTTAAGCCACACTTAAAGAGGGAGGAGGTCCAAGATAACAGTATTCTGCGCCGAGCAAGCAATGATACAAATGCCACGGCACTACCTTGTTTATGGTTCAGAGGATAACACTGAGATGGAACACCAAAAATGGCAATTAAAGGGCAAATGTCTTATTTGATTTTAAGAACATCGGAGACAATTTTAAAGAAAGAGTTCCAAAAATTCATGCAAACATATGGCTGAGGCATTTTTCACATATGTCGGGAACGTTAGGATATATTTTTGATAGTTTAGTCTTAGAAAGATGAGGTCTATGGACCTCGTATTAGTTTTTAAAGCAGCTTACGTGTAGTTGCTGTTTTATAACAATGTAATAACACAGCAAAAGTTGCTGTCAAACGCTGTCAGCATTGCAGGTCGCATCGCAGTCACAATATGTAATTGTATTGCTATTTAAATGCAAATTCAGTTCTCCTGCTGGGTTAAATGGGCTGGAGTTGAATCGTTTATGTGGTAATTTAACCCTGCTGATTGCTTTCCGTTGTAATTATATAGTAATGGGGTTTGTGTTTTCTTTCTGTTTATGTACAGTAACCTGCTGTCTAATCCCTACGTGTGTGACTGTCACTTAGCCTGGCTGGGACTGTGGCTTAAGAAGACCAGGGTGGTTAGTGGCAACCCACGCTGCCAGAAACCTGCCTTCCTGAAGGAGATCCCCATACAAGATGTAGCCATGCCTGATTTCTCCTGCGATGGTATAACTCGATTTTGGCCACTTGCACAATATCTGCTGCTTGCCCTGTTGATGGATCAGTAATTCAGCAAATGCCTGTATCAAAGAATGCATATTGAGAAATAAATCAGTCGTGCATCGCAGTGGTTTTACCACAGTAAAGGAACAAGCACCTTGTTAGCCTGACCACCTTAACTTTGGTGCAATCACTGTAACCGGGTTTCAAAATTAACTTTTACCACAACTGCCAATGGTTGGTGAGTGATTTATTGTCATTAATAGTTTATATGATATACTTTTATTATAAACATGTGATGATATATAATAAAATGATATTATGTTTATGATATAATTATCATAAATATTGCTCACTGGGCATTAAACTGTATATTACTATAAAATTTAAATATAATAAATAAAGAGTAAATAAAATAAAAAGTACATGAATTTCATTAATATATTATTAGACGTTATAGTGACTATTGCTATTGTTATTATTAATAATAATAAAAATAATAAAAAATAATTTAGGGACATATATA